CCCCTCTAAAGTTGAAAAACAGAATAAAAAGGGCTTCTTCGCACCCCAATTTCCCGGGTGATTCTGTTAAAATTCCATCTGCATTTCTCTATGCTTTATTATGAGATGTTATTTTTCCTGTTTCAGGCTTCTAACACCTCCAGGTACTCCTCTTTTTCCTACTCTAGAGATGGAATCGCGAAAAACTGTGATGAGTCAGCTGGGAACTTCTAGAGCTCATCCCACTGCATTGACATCTAGAGTAAGAATATGTATATTCAACTGTTACATTCTTCTTTGCTGAAATAAGGATTGCATTAATTGGAAATTAGTTTACTCTTTTGTTATGTTTAACACGGGAAATGTTGTCCATCACTTTGTTGTCCATCTTAGTGATCAGAAAGTATTTCACCCCATATCCAGCCACTAGAGGGATGAAGAGATTTTCAGGAAAAGGAAATTTCTATAATTAGATAGAACGACCCTGGCAGGTTGTTTAGTTCAGAACTCGTGCACATGGTGGCTCCATTATTTAATCAAATGCTATCATCAGAAGCCCTCGCTGTTGAATTTGAGAATTGTCTTAGTGTTTAATCTTTTGGATGCAAATAGGATGATGCACATTTCTTTTGTGATCATTCTTATAGGAAATAACGAGTACCCAATCTCTCAAAGATATCACCAATTTGGAAAACTTCATTCTGAGGTATATTTTAGGGCTTAGGATTTCTTTATCCTAATGAGCATACATAAACAGGTATAACAGCACATGCTCTTATGGTGGGGTGTCAGTGATACACAGATTCAGTGCCAGTTGGTTTTTTCTTAATGATTCTCCTGAGAAATTGTAATAATCGTGTTTATTTGATATTCCTAGATAGTAGATGCAATCAGACATAATTATACCCATTTTGATGGAATTGTTTGATCTTGAGGTATCTTCTGTAATTTTGCACGTGAGCTGTTTTTCTTGGTTTCATGCCGTCATTAATTGCTTGATTTATTTTTAGATTATAGTAGATAGAAACAATGAAGAAAAACACCAATAGAAAAAAGCTTGTAAAATTAACCAATGTGTCAGAAAGACCAACTTCATCAGCAACATGTACTTGCTTTATATGTTCCAACCTTCCAACTCATAATTTTCATTAAATTAAGTACATTAAAGAAAAAATAGAGACAGCATAATCGAATAATAGTTTCATAACCATATGATAAAGACTAAAAATCTACCGAAAAAATAGAAACATTTGAAGAAAATCTATAAATTAGTTACAAATTTTTGTAAGTATACATATTTGGACACACACACACACACACATATTTATGTATATTATATAATTACAAGGTGGTATATGTTGCCGATTTGATTTAATATCGTTCATCTTTTTTTTTTTCCTCCAATTCTAAAGTAAACCAAATGTTATTGTTTTTTTTTTGTTTTTTTTTGTTTTTGTTTTTGTTGAGAACATAAAAAAAATCCGAATATTACTGTTTTTTCTTTTTAAACTTAACACCAAACTGTACCAAATCAAAACTCATAAGAGTATAAGTTTTTCAGTGGGTTTGATTCAGTTTTGCCGTTTGATTTGGTTTACCTTTAATATTGAAGAGACTGCAGAACTTTGCTATTTACTGCCAGTAGATAAATATGCGAAGTGGAAATAGCGAAGCTTTCTGCCTGGCAGTCTTAACCTGAAGTCTGTTTCACAGCTTTGTGTAAATTGTTACTTTTAATGCAGTTAACGAATCCTCTACCAGAGGCCACCGCAAGAAGCAACATAGAATCTAGACAGCTAGCTTCCTCTTCTGGATTAAACTCTTCAAGTTCAAGTCTTCGAAGACCATCTTCTTCAGGTGGATCAAGACCTTCAACTCCGACTGGTAGGCCAACATTAAGCTCATCTAGATCCACCATGACTTCAGCATCTAGATCCACATCTAATGCAGCAACCAAAGCAATGACATCCACTGCAACCTCTAAAACAATGTCAACCACTACGACATCTAGATCATCAAGGTCTGCGACACCTACTTCTCGTGCCACCATGACTTCTGCAAAACCCACTGTTCCTCCAAGATCTTCAACACCTACTGCAAGGTCCAATGCAAGGTCATCAACACCGACAAGCAGGGCCTCAATTACTGCATCGAAGTCCACATCCAGGGCAGCAACTCCTACTCGTCGGCCAACGTCAATGTCAAGTACAACAAATACAACTGTTCCACCTGTTAAACCTTTGTCTTCCTTTTCGGGTACCAAGTCAGCTATAACTGCATCACGAAACTCTGCAGCCCCACGTGCCAGTTCGCCAACTGTGAAACCCAGACCATGGAAGCCTTCAGATATGCCAGGGTTCTCCCTTGATGCTCCACCCAATTTAAGGACATCACTATCTGACAGGCCAGTTTCAGCTACAAGGGGCAGACCAGGGGCACCAAGTGCTAGATCTTCATCTGTTGAGCCAGCTTCAAATGGAAGGATCAGACGACAGTCATGCTCTCCAGCAAGAGGACGTCCTCCTAATGGTGTTGTGCATAGCAGTGGAAGCTCTGTTCCTGTCCCATCCATGAGCCGACTACATGCTAAAGCCAATGACAATGTTAGTCCTGTCTTGGTTGGGACCAAGATGGTTGAAAGGGTAATAAATATGCGGAAGCTGGTTCGTCCGAAGCAAGATGACAAACATTCTCCACATAGTAACTTATCTGCAAAGTCTTCGTCACCTGATAGCTCAGGCTTTGGAAGATCATTATCGAAGAAATCCTTGGATATGGCTATAAGGCATATGGTATATACATTCTTTTCATTTAGTGCTGCTATAGAAAAATATTATGATTACTTGAATAACATCATATCAGAAATCCGCATTCCTATTCTAATAGAATATGGTTCTCTACCATATATGTTCTGTTGTTTTCTTGGAGCTCTAAAGTCTGTAGATGATCCCTGTCTTCTTGTTGTTCTCTTACCCTTTTGGATTTGCTTAACTTGAGACATTGCTCTTGGACAGGATATAAGGCAAAGAATCCCGGGTAATCTGCGTCCATTGATGACTAATATTCCAGCATCCTCTATGTACAGTGTGAGATCAGGGCCTAGTAGAAGCAGGACAAGCAGATCAATAAGTGTACCTGACTCTCCACTTGCCACAAGCAGTAATGCTAGTTCTGAAGTGAGTGTTAGTAACAATGCAGTGTATTTCGATGGAAGTGAAATTGATGATGATGTTAGCAGCGACAAAGGTGTTCGATCACCTGCCAGTGTTCATGGGAGGTGATGATTGGCCTTTCCTGCTCCAGGATGCTTTCTTGTTTTGGATCAGTGCCAGTATGAGAGTTTTGACACCTGAATATGATTGTTCACCGGAGTAATGACTGATTTGGTTCACTTGATTATGTAAAGATTAATGCACTACCTAGCTGTATTTGAATCCTTTGTATCATTAGTCCTGTTAATGCCAAATCCTCGTTATTGCTCATGAGAAATGTGACTTATACAAGATTAGAATGTTTAAACATCTTGTGATGAGTTCGATCCTGAATGGTGAAGGGGTAGGGCTTCATTTTTGGCAGGGAAAGGAGTCTTCTACTTGTAGAAATGGCAAAGGGGCAGGTGGGGGGCGGGATGAAGCTTAAGCCGCGTAGCAATTTTTTCCGTTTTCAATCCCACCAGCCCTGCCCTGCCCCACGAACACCCGCCGTTTTTTCCGTTTTCACTTTGTCACGCATTATGAAATTTTTTCCGTTTTCACTTTGTCACGCATTATGAAATTAAAATCTGTATAAGGCACAATTTTTACATTGTGATAATTTAAGCCAATTTGACAAATTTGTTTTAGTGATGGAGCCAGTTACTATTTTTATGCTTTTTCACTGGAAATGCATATTATTAAGACAGGATAACTTGGCCATTTGAATATGAATATTCAAACAAAAATATGAAACTTTTTTAGTCAACAACTAGCCAAGAGAGGATAATTTTAATAACTACATTAAATTGGAAAAACTTTGTGACGACCCGGCCGGCCGTCTTGAGAGTTTTAGCCCCGATCCCTTACTAACTATTTTTCCCGTATATTTTTCTACTATTGTGACTTGCCGGGAGGTTTCATTTTGGTTTTTGGAGTGTTTTAGGACACTTAGTCCCTAAACGGAAGCTTAAGCCTTAAGATTTGGACCACAGTATGAATTGTGTGAACACGACTTCGGAATGGGTTCCTTTAACTCTGTTAGATGATTTTGGACTTATGGACGTGTCTGGATTGTGTTTTGGAGGTCTGTAACTCATTTAGGCTTGAAATGGCGAAAGTCGAAGTTTTGGAGATTTTGACCGGTAGTGAAATTTTTGATGTCGGGGTCGGATCCCAATTCCGGAAGTTGGAGTAGGTCTGTAGGGTTGAATATGACCTGTGTGCAGAATTTGGGGTCAATCGGACGTGGTTTGGTTGGTTTCGGCATCGGCTGTCGAATTTGGAAGTTTCAAGTTCTTTAAATTTGAATCGGAGGATGATAAGTGATTTTAGCGTTATTTGATGTGGTTTGAGGGCTCGACTAAGTCCGTATGGTATTTTAGGACTGGTTGGTATGTTTGGTTGAGGTCCCGGTGGCCTCGGGTGTGTTTCGAATGCTTAACGGATTGAGTTTGGGACTTATGCAATTGCTGAAGCTGCTGCACCTGGTGAAATCGCACCTGCACACTTTGGGCCGCAGGTGCGGCGCCTCAGAAGTGGCCATGGAGCCGCAGAAGCGGTTTTGGCCCTGTCAAGCTGAGGCCGCAGGTGCGGCGATAGATCCGCAGAAGCGGACACACATAAGCGGAAGATGAGCGCAGGTGCGGGCCCGCAGATACAGCCCTTGTTCGCAGATGCGGACCAAATTCCCCTCAAGTGATTTTCGCACCTGCGATGGTATTTTTGCAGGTGCGGTACTACAGATGCAGTTGAAGACTCGCAAAAGCGAGATCTCTGGCAGAAAAAGGGCCAAGTGCGAGAGTTTGATTTCATTCTTCATTTTTGGACTTGAGAGCTCGAGATTTGGCGATTTTTCGAGGGATTTTCAGAGGAAGCTTTGGGGTAATGATTCCTAACTCGTTTTGTATTCCATTAATCTATAGTTGTCTTCTCCATTTAATTTCGGATTTGGGGTTGAAAATTTGGGAAAAAGTTCTTAGGCCGAATTTTGGGATTTTGATCGAGATTTTGGCATCGGATTTGAGTAATTTTGGTATGAGTGAACTCATGAGTGAATGGGTGTTCATATTTTGTGACTTTTACCCGATTTCGAGACGTGGGCCCGTGGAGACGTTTTGGAGCGATTTTCTAATTTCTTGCTTTAGCTTTGATTTTATTAATTAGATTGATTTCTTGAGGTTGTATTTATGGTATGTAATTCATTCAGGCTATCATCAGTTAAAGATTCGGGAGCCAGATATCCCGAAGACTACTTTCAGGACCCGATATGGTCACTATGAGTTTCTTGTAATGTCTTTTGGACTGACCAATGCTCGAGCAGCTTTTATGCATTTGATGTACAGTGTGTTCCGGCCTTATCTTGACTCCTTTGTCATTGTGTTTATTGACGATATTCTAGTGTACTCTCGGACTCGGAAGGATCACGAGCAGCACCTGAGGACTGTGCTTCAGACTTTGAGAGAAAAGAAGTTGTATGCAAAATTTTCTAAGTGTGAGTTTTGGCTAGACTCAGTAGCATTCTTGGGCCATGTAGTATCGAATGATGGGATCAAGGTGGATCTGAAGAAGGTGGAAGCAGTGCAGAGTTGGCCTAGACCGTCATCGGCTACGAAGATCCGTAGTTTTCTTGATTTGGCGGGGTATTACCGTCGCTTTGTAGAGGGATTCTCATCTATTGCAGCGCCTATGACCAGGCTGACTCAGAAGGGAGCTCCGTTCAGGTAGACAGAGGAGTGTGAGAAAAGCTTTCAGAAGCTCAAGACGGCTTTGACTACAGCCCAAGTATTAGTATTGCCTACAGGTTCAGGGTCTTACACTGTATATTGTGATGCGTCGCGGATTGGTCTTAGCGCAGTATTGATGCAGGACGGTAGGGTGATTGTCTACGCGTCCAGACAGCTGAAGGTGCATGAGAAGAACTATCCTGTCCACGACCTGGAGTTAGCAGCTGTTGTTCATGCCCTGAAGATTTGGTGCCACTATTTGTACGGTGTTCCTTGTGAGATTTACATTGATCATCGGAGTTTGCAACATTTATTCAAGCAAAAGGATCTTAATTTGCGTCAGCGGAGGTGGTTGGAGCTACTTAAGGATTATGATATCACCATTTTGTACCACCCGGGGAAGGCCAATGTGGTGGCCGATGCTTTGAGTCGCCGGGCGGAGAGTTTGGGGAGTTTAGCATATCTTCCAGCAGCAGAGAGACCCTTAGCATTGGATGTTCAGGCCTTAGCCGGAGATTTAATTTCCAAACATAAAATAGAGGACTAAAGCTTTTCAATTTTTTTTTATCTTCATTCAAATTCCAAATTGCAACTTTAGTTTAGAGGCAATTACAGATAATTTATAGCTTCAGTTGGATATTTTTACAGGGGAGAATGGAGAACTTGGAGCAAATATAAAATTTGTTCCTGAAGTTTGGTTCTCTCCCAACCTATTTTCTCTTTTTTTTTTTTTTTTTTTTTTTTACCATTTTTCAGAACGAGAAAATGAAGAAAATATAATTCAACTGGATACAAAAATAGCAACATGGAACTTTTTGTTTTGCAAAGAGTATGGGAGACTTGTGCGGAAAGATAACCTCATCAGCAGACTACGTCCAAAGAAATGGGTTTTAGACTTGGATTCCTCAAACCCGATCCCCCCCCCCCCCCC